CCGTGCCCCAGTGCTCTCTGCCTCTGCTCCCCTTCACGGGGTAAAAGTGCTCTTGTCACTCCAATTGGGTSCTTGATTACATTTCTGACTTCTTTATTTTCCTCTATTTTCCGTGCAGGCTGTCTTGTTTTACTCGGATGTTCTGTGTGATGGTGACTCAAGGCTCCAGCAAGCGGCGTGTCTGGCTCTGAAGAACCTCAGGGTGAGCTCTGCTGTGGGGTCCGGGTGCCAGGGGTGTCCGGAGGGGTTCGGCCTGGCAGGGGTCACCATCACCCCTGGAATTACCCAATTTGTGTCATTTCAATCTGTGCCAGCACAGATTCAAACCTCCCCAGCAGCCCTAAGCTGCAGTGAGTTTGCACACAAATTGGGAACGCATTTCTACTCACAAACAGCAAAGCAGTTTTACCCTTAAAGTCGATTTGCAGGGATTAACCCTTTCAGTGAAGGTCCTGATTGGGTGGAACTGATTGAATGGTCCCCCAACAGTGATCTGTATGCTGGAACTGCTGAAAAGCTGCTGAGGTAATTTTTTTTTTTTTTTTTCCCAACAGGCCGTGGAGAGCATCGAGCAGATTGCCCACCTGTGCCAGTCTGAAATAGAGGAAGTGAGGAACGCAGCCAGGGAAACCACACTGTCCTTTGGTAAGGATTTTGTACAGCTTTAAAATAGTTTGAAGAGTCATGTGAAATAGTGCAGGACCTGGAGAGGCCTCAAGTTCAGCCTGAGCACATGTAGGACAGTGGGAATATTTCATGAGCAGCTGTTTCATACCATGAAGRTAAACTTTACATCCCATCTAACAGCCAAGGGCCCCCCRTTGAAGTTTATTCARCCAGACCAAGGAGATCCTGGAGGATTAAGTGCTTTAGGAACCACTGAACCTTTTTGAAAGGTCACAAATAGGGACTGAAGGTTTTATGCTGTTATTTCAMTGCAATCCAGCAGATTGGCAGTGGAGGTGACCTGATGAAATGTCAGTGCTCCCCATCTCGTGCTTCTCCTCTCTCCTGAGCTGGGATGTGCTGGAGGATGCCCAGGCCATGCTGGGGGCAGTCATCTCCCAGTTCTGCTCTTCCAAACCCYRCTTTGATCCACGCTCAGCTCTGGRATCTCCAGCCYTGCCCCAMAYAMACACTCAGGCTCACACATGACAARTGTTCCAGCTGTGATGTTCCCCGCWGTTACTCATGGAAACAGTTCCAGGAACCCTGATTTTCCATGGTGGCTTCTAGCAGGTCTTGGAAAACTGTTTCCTGAGGGATGTGTTTGTCACTGTACAGAGTGTCCCCACAATCCCAGGGTGCTGCTGCCTCTCCTCAGCAGGGGCTGTTTTCTCTCTCCACAGGGGAACGGGGCCGCCAAGCCTTTGAGAAGATGGACAGGATCTGCTGTGAGCTGAGGGAAACAGCACAAGAGGCTGAGATTGAAATCACAGTGTTTTAGCAGTGGAACAGAGGAGCTCAATGCCATTTTCCTCACAGCCCCATGGGTACCTGAGGGATTGGTTTTGTTGTCTGATTCCTCCTGTGCTGTTCTGTCCCTGCTGCCTCTGCCCCAGGGCAGGTTCAGTTCCACAGGGGACAATTTGTGGCCTCCCTGGTGCAGCCTGCAATGGATTTTATCACTGTCTCAGCACATGATGAAATACCAAGTGCAGGGACTGGAAGGGATTTGCCATGCAGACGTCTGACTGATGGAGGGACAGGTTTGTTTGTTTTAAATTCAGAATTCAGTCATAGACCAAGASTTCTGCTCATCCAGCCCTTGTCAGGCTCAGTCCCCACCCTGGCCATGGGGAGCAGCCTGGCTTCAGCTGCAATACTTGAAAGGGTTGCGCTTGTGTGTACATATTTATATATATATACATAAAACTTTTCTATTTGGTATTTATTTTTTGGATTTCATACTGTTTTCTAAAGTGCTAATAAATCATTTGAGACAAGTTCCTGGGAGTGTTTGCTGCTGCTGTGTTTGCAGCCCTGGGGACAGGGAAGAGGACTGAACTCCCCAAAGGAAAGGGCTTGACCTGCCCTGTCCTGCTCTGGTGAACTCTCCCCTCCAGTTGTAGCTTTCCTTAAAACCACAAACCAGAGGTAAGTTCTGGAATTCAAACAGCAGGGAGGTGCTGGCTGCAGCTGCAAACAGGGGCAGCACAACCTCCTGCCCTCCACACCTCCTGCAGAAACCAACCTCTGCACTTCTTACCCTTCAATTTTAATGGGAAAGGCCACAAGAGGGAAATGGAGRTGGCAGGGAGAGATGGGGTCACTCTTTCACTGGAGCTCTGACTCCAAGAAGTTCTTACATTTTCCTCTAGAACTCCCTCCCTCGTCCCCACATGGGTCCCATGTCCACGTGGGTCAAGCCCAGAAGCAATAACACACTGCTGGGAATTCTTTAAAAAAAGAGTTTTATTGTTACAACTAAAATGAGAACTGAAAACTTTGTATGGGGGATTGAAAAACTGTACAGTTGTACTCTAACCTGGGAGGCCCAGCAGCGGCTTACACAAAAGACAAGATACCTGAAACTGTATTATACCAAAACATTCAGCTTTTTTGTTGAGTTTTTACATTTTTTTTATAAAAGTTTATTCTATGGCAATCTGTAAAAAAGAAAGACCTGATGAGTAAATATTTGCTTAAGGCAGATAGCAGAGCAGCTCACTAACTTTCTAACAAGTCTACCATGGATGTTTGTCCAATTCCAAGAACAGGTTACCCAACACCCCCTGTGCTACGGTATTTACACCCCCCAACTACCACAGACAGTACAGGACAGCAAACAAAATGGGCACAGCTCAGGAGTGCCAGCCCTGCCCACACCTCCCTGTGTGCCTGGAACACAGGGAACAAACGGGCAGGAAGAGGATGCTCAGAGCTCTGCTGGCATCTGCAGAACTTCATCTTGCTACAATCATTGGCAGTTGAAGAACTCTGCATTCACAGGAAGGATCCTTTGTTTGTTTTCCTGCCATAGCCAAGATTTAAAATATTCCCTCTTGGGAAGGAGGCCAGAGKGGGTTTGGGTTGTTTCTCTCCCAAGTGTCCCAGTGGCAGGGGAGGTGTGGAAGGGCTGCCTGAGCTCTCTGGAATGTCTGTACTACACTCACTCAGCTGAAAGGAACATGCTACCACCGGGCACATGGAGCACACGGGATCCCACGGGAAGTCATGCCAAGGATTGGGCGAGTACATGGGCTCTGAAAAACACCAATCAGTCCAGTGCTGAACAGAGAGACTCAGCAACACCCTCTGAACCACAGCCACTAAGGATCAGGTCATGCAAATATCATTTGGGCACATCAGGAAGCAGGAATATAAGTTCTGTCACCTTTCAAGCACGTGGTGTTTCAGGGACACCGCAGCCTTCACATGCACTTTAATACAAAGGGGTACAAATGGTGCTCAGGGCAGGGTCCTGCCCACGCTGCAGAGAACAGTGGGGACAAAGCAATCACAGAATGTCTCTTAAATACACAGATGAGCCATTATATATTACCATTTTTCTATACTCATTTTTCCCGTTTCCAATAATATAACTAAATATTGACTGATTACAACATTCCTCCTTTCAAGTACTGGTCGGACCAACAGTCTCACAGGTAAAGGATTGATTCCCAGTACTACCTGAGGATTTATTATTGTACTCTTGAAAAGCCCTTGATGCAAGCTTAACAAAACACAGAACAGAAATAACTCCCACCCCTCCCCACCCCTTCACCTACTCACCCACTGAAGGAAGAGCTACACCTACAGCCAGCTTGGCAAAAATAAATACAGAGTGGAGGGACTCSCTGGGCTCCTCCACAGCGAGGGCTGCACTGAGGGCTGCTTAAGTGCTATACATCTAGAAAGACTTTAGAAATAAAACAAATCAGTAACACTGCTGCAGATCAGCTGTTGTGGGGCAGTTCAGTCCCTACAGCTCCCAGGAGTCACTCTGCTCCTGTCCTCTGCACCACAACACAAGCAAAGGGATCTTTGCCATTATTGTTTAAACCATTCATAATTTGGTACTACCCTGAGGGACAGCACTGGCTGCTTTGTGCAGTGCTGCCTTCCAGTCCCAGTCCCACTCCTCCTTTGCCAGCACTTCACCCCAGAGCCCTGGCTGGAGTGGGACCCACAGGGCTGAGCCTTCCTGCACCCCAACCCAAAGCCAGGACTCAGTTTTTGCTTTGAACAAAGCAGGACAGCCCAAGGCTGACATCACAAGCCAAGGGATGTGCTCAGAGCCCAGCTCTGCTCCTGCTGGGCTGTTCTGGCCCAGGGAAGCTGCCCCAGCAGGGATTGCTCTGCATTTCCCCAACATTTCCCTGCYCCTCGCTGGGGCTGAGGCAGGAGCTGCAGAGTGAAACTGCATTTTACATTCCAAATGCTGAGCTTTAAGGACTGGTCCTTCTGCGGGCCACGGGCACAGCCCCACTGCTGGTGGACATTGTTTGGTTGAATTTCCCTTCCTGTTTCTCTCCCACCCCTCAACCTCTCCTAACCCAGAATACAAAAGTAAAAACAGCTTTAGAAAGGATGGTGCAATGTAAAGAGGCATATGTGCAAGTAGAGTGCAACAAAAGTCAATGAGGAGATACACACAGTAAAGAAAAAAAAAAAGAAAAAAAAATTAAAGAGCTGGACATGTTGGGATACCCTGAGCAAACGCAGAAGCCTGGTTCTATCAACACAAGTAAAACAATCAGCTCTTTAAGAACAGTTACGCCAAGATTAAATACCAATACCACAGGCACTGCCCACAACTCAGTCTTTAAAGATGAAGCAAGTTAAAAAAAAACCAAAAAACCAACAAACCAAAAACCAACCACAAACACACCTCCCCTTCCAAACATTTACATTCTTCAGGTATGTGGGTTTCTTTTTCATTTTTTTGGGAACTTGTCAATGTAAGTCATGTATTTGGTTACAACACTTGGAGAGTACAAGCAAGTTTCACTTGTGCCTACTTTTTCTGAAACAAAAGAAAATGAACTGGCTTTTTAAAAAAGGCTAAAAACAACAATGTGTTGTAATTCTATTATTTAGTTTAAAAAAAAAAACAAACAAAAAAAACAAAACCAAAACAAAAAAAGGAAAACAGACTATTTGGCATTTTCTCTGCTTACTCCTGAATATTTCAAGGCCCTGAGATTACTATATTATGTTCTTGGGACCACAGGGCTGGATAAAACCCTAGTGCATCAATTCTCTCGTTAAGCCCTAGCCAAAGTTGTGGCCTTTCCCCCTAAATCTACCTGCTGTGAGCCAAGGCTGCCCTGCCTGGAGCGGCACAAAGCGGGAGCGGCGATCCCGCGGCGGCCTCAGTGGAAACACACCCTGTAGCAGAGATAAGCTCCTGCTGTCAGGAAGGTGAACATGCAGATATTCACTAGGAAGGGTTTCCAAGTGGTCACCACGTTGTCATCCTCCTCCTCGGGGCTTTCTGCCTTGCCGGGCTCGTCGTGGTGGGGTGAGAGGCGCGGGGTGTCCCCAACAGTTCTCCTCCGGATTTCAGTGTCGTGACTAATGCTGGGGACAAAGGAAGGGACACTCAGCACTGGARCAAACATTCTGTGCTGTGTGGCCATGGAGCACACAGAGCTGGGAATCTCCCGGAGTGAACAGCCACCAAAGCACAGCCTGTCACTTGTTAGGACACATCTGGCTGTTCARCAGAGGTTTACGAGAGTTTGGGGAGGATTCTGTGCCCTTTAAAGAATAAGTTTTAACCACCACCTGCTTTCATTGCTCATCACAAATCTGCACCAAGACAGGCAGTGAACAAACCCAACTCCCACCCACACCCGGGTCAGGGGAACACCAAAGTTCTAAAATCTGCCCAGAAAGTCAAAAA